CTGTGAGGTAGGGGGGGGCCTGATTGTTAAGGGCTTTGTGAGTAATGAGGAGGACTTTGAAGTCGATTCTTTGACGGACGGGGAGCCAGTGGAGGTTCTGGAGGACGGGAGTGATGTGGTCTCGGGTGTGGGTGAGGAGGCGGGCAGCAGAGTTCTGGATATGTTGGAGTAGGGCTGTGCGATTATGGCAAAAATCATAATCACGATTATTTGGTCAATAATTGATATCATGATTATTTTGACGATTATTCATTGACCATTTATTGAACTTTAAAACAAATAATATTTTACCAATAAACAAGATCAACAAATATGTTGGAGCGCACTTCCAAAACCATACTAAACATATATTATTAATATGATAAATAAAAATAAATTAGACCAAAATAAATGAAATCAAATGTGATGCAGTGCACTGCACAACCTACTGAACACTCCTTAACATATAGCCAACATGTTGGTAAAACATATTGATTATTCCACTCAGTTAAACGTTGAAGGCTGGCCCACCGTCATGGTCCAGAAGTAACAGGAAATAAATGTTGAACTACAATTTAAGACCAAATTAAAATGTTTATGCCACCATGGCAAATGCTGGTAGGGCTGCTCATGAAACACCAGCCTGTTGACATGGTCTGGTTTCAGAGATGAGCGCAGGCAGGTGACAATATTGCCACCTGTACTGAAGACCCTCAGCCACGCCCCGACACATGGGGTGACGCCGGCCAATCACAAAGCTTTGATGCGTTCAAGTGCATTATTCTGGCACAGGAAGATTATGTTACAGGACATTAACGATAAAACAGAATATTGTTGTTCTATTTTTAGACACATCTTGCGATCGACTGGTTGGGCACCCCTGGGCTAGACCATAGGTCCGTTGTGGTCGCAAAGTAGTCAGCTGAAGCCACATCTCTCTCAACTTCCCCACGGCATTTGTCATATAGCGCAGGCAGCGCAGACCTGCTGAAATAATACCGAGATGGCATCGCGTAACGCTTGTCCAACGTGTTGACAAGTTGCTTAAAGCCCTGGTTGCTAACAGTGCTAACTGGGCACATATCTTTAGCGATGTGGAATGTAATGACAAAGTACTTCCAAATAGTGGAAATAGTTGTACCCTTCTTTTTAACTAGTTGCTGCTCTTGTTCTGACATCTTCGCTCGCGCTGAACACTCACAACACATGTCACTCCCACGTGGCCGAGTGGGCTTTTAGGGAGGGGCGAAAGCGCACCCAGCAAAAATAATCGTATTTTGTCAATTATGCTGTTTTCATAATCGTCGCAAGCCATAATCGTAATCGCGATTAAAATACGATTAATTGCACAACCCTATGTTGGAGTTTATTGATTAGGTTGGATGGTATGCGGTAGAGGATGCTATTGCAGTAGTCGAGTCGTGAAGTGATGAATGCATGAATCAGGGTCTCAGCAGCAGAGGAGGAGAGTGATGGGCGGAGACGGGCAATGTTTTTGAGGTGGAAAAAGGCGGTCCTGGTGATGTGATTTATGTGGTGGTTGAATTTGAGCTGACTGTCGAAGATGACTCCGAGGTTGCGGATGTGAGGGGGGGGGGAGATAGAGTGTGGCTGTCAATGGTGAAGTTGAAATTCTGGATGTCTTTGGTACGGGATGGGGTGCCGATGATGATGATGATGATGTCTGATTTGGCACTGTTCAGTTGGAGATAGTTTGTTTGCATCCATGCTTTTATTTCTGAGAGACAGTTGGTGAGAGTGGAGTGTGTTTTGGGGGGGATGGTTTTTGTTGAGATATAAAGTTGGATGTCATCGGCGTAGCAGTGAAATTGAAGGTTGTGGCGACAAATTATTTTGCCATGGGGGAGCATGTAGAGGATGAAGAGGAGGGGGCCAAGCACCGAACCCTGGGGGACACCTTGGGACAGAGGAGCAGTGGAGGAGGTGCAGTTGTTGATAAACTGATGTCTGTCGGTGAGGCAGAGTCCTGCATCGGGTCGGGTCACCCGTCGGGTACCCGTCGGGTACCCGCAAAAAAGGTGATTCGCGGGTGGTATTTTTTTCAAACGCTTTTTTCCGGGTTCGGTTCTGGGTAAAACAAAGATGATGCGGGTCGGGTCGCGGGTATTGCATAATAAATATATTAAAATAATAATAAATTAGTTTAATGTTTAAAATCCTCAGACCTCTCCCCCGCGGGACCGCGCATAATCATAACCTCTGCAGCGCATCCATCTGCTGCTGTGCGCCACATTGGAAATGGCTGAGGTGAAGCTCTCTAGCGGAGAATACAGCATTTTCAATAACACTTCCTCGAGCGAAATCCAACGTCTGGGAGGCTTTTGGTGTCATCAGACCTAGATGGAGGAAATAACCAACATCCCACGCTTTCTGAGACAAATATGAAACTGCGTGTGTTAATAATTGCACGTTTTCACTGCTCATAGGCTATGCGGGTTCGGGTCGGGTTGCGGATCTTGTGCCGACGGGTCGGGTCGGGATGCGGAACTAATTGGCAATATGTGCGGGTAGCGGGGCGGGTTCGGTATTGCACGTCGCGGTGCGGGAGCGGGTCTTGAAAATCAGACCCGTGCAGGACTCTGCGGTGAGGTAGGATTTCAGCCAGGAGAGTGCACTGTCGGTGATGTTGAGTGATGATTCGAGGAGGGACAGCAGGATGGCGTGATTGATGGTGTCGAATGCTGCGGTGAGGTCGAGGAGGATGAGGATCTTAAGGTTGCCGGAGTCAGAGGAGAGGAGGAGGTCGTTTGTGATTTTGAAAAGAGCTGTGTTTTGATCGGAAACCAGATTGAAATGGCTCAAAGAGATCATTGGAGCTGAGGTGGGCTTTAAGTTGTGAGGCAACGACACGTTCAAGTATTTTTGACAGAAAGGGGAGATTTGAGAATGGGTGTGACAGCAGCCAGTTTGAGAGAGGGGGGAACTGATCCAGATCTGAGGGAGGAGTTAATGATGGTGGCGATGAGTTGGGAGATGGCAGGGAGGCTCTCTTTAACACATTTGCAGGTGGAGTTAATTCCAGTCATGAAGTCGGACAGTTGCATGGGGGTCACAGGGGAGAAGTGGGACAGGGGCTGTGAGGTGAAGCGGGGGGAGCCAGGAGGGGAGGTGGGGGGTGCTGATGAGGGTGTCAGATTGCTGTAAATGTAGCTGATTTTGGTTTGTAAAAACGAGAGGAAGGAGTTGCACTGTTCGGTGGTGAAGGATGAGGTGGCGTTGTCACAGGGTTTGAGAAGTTTGCTGATGGTGGAGAACAGACGCTTGGGGTTGCTGGAGCCAGACTGAATGAGTTGTGAGTAGTAATTAGACCGGGCTGCTTTGAGTGCGTTACTGTACTGCTGGAGATAGTCTTTGAAGATTTGAAGATGGACTGTTAGTGTGGTTTTCTTGTGTTGGCGTTGTTGAGAGTCGGCGAGGTCCTGATAATTTATTCCGGTAAATTATTCTGACCTACTAATTGACCTGACCGAAGTTATTGCGTCTATGTAAGTTTACTGCTTGGCTCAGATCCACCAAGGTCAGCAAGATCTCACCTCTATTAACTCCCCGAAGAACCAGGTTCAATTAACTGCTGTTTCAATTCAGACAACTCTTTATTAATCTGTTTAAGGGATCCTGAAGGATTTTGGTATCGGTAAATGAGGTGTGGTCCTACCTTAACATGAGTGTGGCAGGGTGCAATCTTACCTTTGAAGCAGGAGAGGAGAGCGCAAATGTCCTTTAAGTTGTCCCAATCCAACTGGTGGGATCAGTTTATTTGAAGAAAAATAGGTCCAAACTAATACAGGGTTTTTACCTTCTCTCTTTACAACATTATAATCATACTAAAAAAAAATGATGCTGTGATCATGTTCAAATATGAAACTTTAATTCACAGTCTTACATTTATTACCAAAATGTTTAACTTCAACTGCCCAATTCAGTTGTGACATTTTAAAATCTCCCGATAGAATTTAGAGGTATTTCCTCATAAAAAGACCGGTGATAATAAAAAGCACATTCAACTTTTCATTCACCAAATCAATTCCATACCTTTTTTCCGACACAGATGGCGGGTACTAACATTCAAAAACACACACCTATCTCCCGCAGGTATTCGGAGGAAGATCCTCACAGTGGCGGTTACTAATACTCACAAACACACTCCTATCAAATCATTCCACTCAATTTGACAAGGCTGAATGTATTCCTATGGAAAAGCTACCTAGGGCAAAGGTCAGGTCATATCTAACTATCACACCTTTTCCGTTTAAGTTCAGAAATCGTGTATGGGTGACCAGAGGGGCAAAGTCCAGAGAAGGGTTAGCTTTAAACTAAGATCAGAAGGTTTGGATACAGTGAAGTCAATCTCTGGGAACGTAGTTTCACTCCAGAAGAGAGGATCGGTGTGCTCTCTATCTTAATATCCGTTAGTGATGGTATTTTAAGCACCTTGTGTAACAGTTCTTTAATAAATTCTGCCATGTTTCCTCCCTCACTCCCCTCTGGTACCTGAAAGATTCTCACATTATTTCTTCTGTCTATTCTGCAAGTCGTCGCAGGTGGCTGAGAGGGCAATATCACGGTGGATCAGGTATCGGAGCGCCCTCTGATGCCGCACCGCTACGTCCTCGGCCATGCCGACTCTGTCCTCCAACTTTCCAATCCTCCCTTCATGTTCGCCCATTTGAACTTTTATATCTAGCACCGTCTGTTCCAGTCGATCTAGAGACATTTTTGTTTGATTATGCCCTTCTTGATTTTCCTTGCGGAGATTCCCCAGCTCACCCATCAACGTAACTTCATGGTCCGACTCGCACATGTTGCTATCTGTTGTCAAGCTAGCGCTAGCTGGGCTGGCCGGTCTCCGTTGTTTATCGTTTTTTTCCTTTGAGATATCTTGTTTGTTGGGGGCTTTGTTTCTGGTTGACGAGCTCATCATGCAGGAGTGCTCTTTCTTATTTTTTTAAAACGTCTTATATTACTAGTTGTCTCTATTTTTGTGTATAGTCTGGCGGAGCTCCACTTCTAAGCTGCTGCTTCTCCCATGACGTCACCGGAAGTCCTGCGGTCGCTCTTTAGCTGTTCTAATGAAGGTACACACAGTGAAGGCACAGCTCTTTGCAGCTGCTGCTGCTCTTCTCAGATTCTGCTGAGTCACACGTTACTGCCTCCTGGTGCCGCAGAGATTTCATGAAGTGAAGGAGGTTTTCTTCTATAAAGCAGCTGTGGGCAGCAAATACTGTGAGAGTCACAGACATGAATACATAGGTCAAGGCAGACTGGTTCACAGACTCTCCTGTTTTGCCGATCCGGTGCTTGAACAAATAACTCTACACCCCTGGCCGAAATGTCCCTAAACTGAAGTCCGAGTTTGAAATATATATCTCAAATAATGTATGTATTTCCCCACATAAACATAACAGTCTGCAATGAAACGGCTGTCTCCTGTGCGCTCCACTTCCTACTTTCTCCTGCGAACGAGATACTTTCTCTTTTTTTTCTTCATTGCCCTCTAGGGGCTTCGTACAATACAAATGCAAATATTTTATTTTAAAAAGTAAAGTCCTTTGTCTCAAGTCATGAATACCAAGTCAAAGTCAAGTCGAGTCTTTTATCAATGTTAGTCAAGCAAGTCTCAAGTCAAAAAATATGCGACTCAAGTCATGTGACTCGAGTCAAGTCATGTGACTCGAGTCCCCCACCTCTGGTATATACTGTGGTTAGAATATTGCTGTATTACTGTATCAAATATAATAAACACAAACGGTTGATAAGTAGTATTTTGTTAACTCAAGGTTTATATTAGGTGAGTTTTTATTGTGTTAACTTGTGTATTTATGCTTTTTAGATTGACTTTCTCTCTTTCTCTGTCCGTCTGTTCTAGAAACCGAAAGGAAAAGAGAGACGTCACAGCTGTCAGCAATGTGACAAATCCTTTACAACAACTGGAAATTTAAAGAGCCACCTGCTTATTCACACAGGAGAAAAACCGTTCAGCTGTGAAGAGTGTGGGACAACTTTCGCTCAATCAAGTCATCTCAAAAGACATCAACGTATTCATACAGGAGAAAAACCGTTCAGCTGTGAAGAGTGTGGGACAACTTTCGCTCAATCAAGTCATCTCAAATCACATCAACGTATTCATACAGGAGAAAAACCGTTCAGCTGTGAAGAGTGTGGGACAACTTTCACTCAATCAGGTGCTCTCATATCACATCAACGTATTCATACAGGAGAAAAACCGTTCAGCTGTGAAGAGTGTGGGAAAACTTTCACTACATCAGGTGCTCTCATATCACATCACCGTATTCATACAGGAGAAAAACCGTTCAGCTGTGAAGAGTGTGGGAAAACTTTCGCTCAATTAGGTGCTCTCATATCACATCAACGTATTCATACAGGAGAAAAACCGTTCAGCTGTGAAGAGTGTGGGAAAACTTTCGCTCAATTAGGTAATCTCAAAATACATCACCGTATTCATACAGGAGAAAAACCGTACTGGTGTGAAGAGTGTGGGACAACTTTCACTCAATCAGGTGCTCTCAAAATACATCACCGTATTCATACAGGAGAAAAACCGTACTGGTGTGAAGAGTGTGGGACAACTTTCACTACATCAGGTGCGCTCAAAATACATCAACGTATTCACGCAGGAGAAAAACCATAGTGGTGTGAAGAGTGTGGGAAATCTTTTTCTCAAAGTATTCACCTTTAAAGTCCATGAGCGAATGCACACTGCATTGTTTTGAAGAACTATGAGAGCCAAGCCAGCTGTTTCCTCCTCCTGATGTCCTGAGAGCTGTAGTCTTTCTGAATTTGAGTCTCATTGAAATAAAGCTTATTTAATTCAAATGTGTCTTTTCTTCCGTGAGATATCTTTATCTTTATAAAATCAGACTCTCGAGTCTGATTTTATAAAGTGTTTTAATATTTTTGAGTCTGACTAAAGCAACTTAAATGTTTGCTTTTGGGCAAGGTCATCTGAACATTGTGTACTGTGCAAGTATAGTGTTACTCTACCTTTGTCCATATATTTAGATAAACAAATTAATCCCCATTATTCCATTCAATAATTCATATTTCACGACTCACTAGGGGTGTAACGGTATCCGTATTCGTCACGGTTCGACACATGCAGTCACGCGACGAATACGCCTTTTTATTACGAGTGGGGAAAAAAGTGTCATTCAGGGCAGTATCCATTACACTATTTATAATCCAGGGGGCGGTATTGCGCCTCAAAGCTGTTTGCCAGCCGCCCTTAAACAAGTAAAGAAGAACAAGAAGAAACACAACAACAAAACGAACAAAATCCAAGAAGAAGAAAAGTTAGCGATTTCAGATAACACACAGGAGCTAGAACCCACCTGCTTCTTTTAAATCAGCTGTGTGGGAACATTTCGGGTTCCCTGTGGACTACAATAATGATGAAGTGTGCAAGTGGTGGTTCGGACGAGGACGGTGTGTCGGCGTTGTTCGATAGCGGTGCGGTATGCTAATGGTAACACATGCTAAATCATATCAGAAGGCATCACCCAGATTTGCCAATCACTGGAGCCGGCAAAAGACAACAGCAGTTCAGCAGCTGATCCCCGCTGCTTTTAAGAAGCCAAGAGACATGAGAGCCGAGAGACCGAAATAAATAACGGAAGCTTTTGGCATATGTTTTTCAACGACTTTGTGCTCTGGAAACACTTTCTTATTATTTATGATATCATATTTTCAAGACATTCTTTTTAGTTTTATAGCTTGATGAAACCTTTTTGTTTGACATCAGCCATTATAGATAATATGGCCATCTGAGTGTGTGGTACTGCTTGTGGTTTGTTTTTAACTTTTTAATACAGTTCATTATTCAAAATGTCAGAGTTCCTTATTTTTAAACTGAAACTTGCTACTGTTCAAACATAAATAACAACAAACCTGGAATTATGCATTTGGGACTTTTTTTTGCTTTTTCTTGTTGTACCGAACCGTGACCCCCAAACCGAGGTAAGAACCGAACCGTGACTTCTGTGAACCGTTACACCCCTAACACACACGCACACACTTCTCCGTCTCATTCTGTTTTCATTTACTTGTTCGTTATCTGAACACGGCTATGGTTATGGCATGATAAGAACTGCTCTGTATTCCTAAAGTTGGACCTTTCTGGCAAAATATTTAATTGATTGAGTATAAATGATGGCAACAGCATAAACTAAGGTAAACACAGGTACAAAAGCTCAAGTGGATACAAATCAGATGCTTTGAAACACATTCACTTTTGTAGATCCCAGGATTTATTTGTCATCAGCAGGTATGAATCAAATGTTAGGGGACTTCTTGTAAACTAACATTTGTTGTTATGCAAGTCAACAACAACGAGATCTCACTCCACTGCAGACGAAGAACAGGAATGATCCAGCTATTGAACCCAGTTGGATTCTTTAGGACTTTTCCTGAGCAACCATTCACCTTCATTGACTCAGTATAAAGGATGGCAACAGCAACAACATAAACACAGGTAAAAAAGCTCAAGTGGATACACATCAGATGTACAATTATGTACAGGGAGGCCGTGGCGCAGTGCGTTGGTGTTGGGATCAGGAGAGCACAGGTTCAAACCCCACTTCAGTCAGCATGTCGTTGTGTCCCTGGGACACTTCACCCCACAGTATTGAGTATGTAAGTCGCTTTGGATAAAAGCGTTGAACATGTAATGTACATAAAACTATTTACATTAAGGACGTAGTGTGATGCATCACACTACTCAGCCTCCCCGGGAAAGTTTACTCTAAGCTACTCGAAAGGAGGGTCAGGCCGATTGTCGAACCTCAGATTGAGGAGGAACAATGCGGATTCCGTCCTGGTCGTGGAACGACGGATCAGCTTTTTATTCTCGCAAGGATCCTGGAAGGGGCCTGGGAGTACGCTTATCCGGTCTACATGTGTTTTGTAGACTTGGAGAAGGCGTATGACCGAGTTCCCAGGGAGTTACTGTGGGAGGTGCTGCGGGAGTATGGGGTGAGGGGGTCTCTACTCAGGGCCATCCAATCTCTGTACTCCCAAAGCGAGAGCTGTGTCCGGGTCCTCGGCAGTAAGTCGGACCCATTTCCGGTGAGGGTTGGCCTCCGCCAGGGCTGCGCTTTGTCACCAATCCTGTTTGTAATATACATGGATCGGATTTCGAGGCGTAGTCATGGGGGAGGGGGTCTGCAGTTCGGTGGACTAAGGATTGCACCACTGCTTTTTGCAGATGATGTGGTTCTAATGGTTTCATCGGTCTGCGACCTTCAGCACTCACTGGATCGGTTCGCAACCGAGTGTGAAGCGGCTGGGATGAGGATCAGCACCTCCAAATCTGAGGCCATGGTTCTCAGCAGGAAACCGATGGACTGTCAACTCCAAGTAGGGAATGAGTCCTTACCCCAAGTGAAGGAGTTCAAGTATCTCGGGGTCTTGTTCTCGAGTGAGGGAACAATGGAGCGTGAGATGGGCCGGAGAATCGGAGCAGGGGGAGCGGTACTGCAGTCGCTTTACCGCACCGTTGTGACGAAAAGGGAGCTGAGCCAGAAGGCAAAGCTCTCTGTCTACCGGGCCATTTTTGTTCCTACCCTCACCTATGGTCATGAAGGATGGGTCATGACCGAAAGAACGAGATCGCGGATACAAGCGGCCGAGATGGGTTTTTCTCCGCAGGGTGGCTGGTGTCTCCCTTAGGGATAAGGTGAGAAGTTCGGTCATCAGGGAGGGACTCGGAGTTGAGCCGCTCCTCCTTCGCGTCGAAAGGAGCCAGTTGAGGTGGTTCGGGCACCTAGTTAGGATGCCACCTGGGCGCCTCCCTAGGGAGGTGTTCCAGGCACGTCCAGCTGGGAAGAGATCAAGGGGTAGACCTAGGACCAGGTGGAGGGATTATATCTCTTCGCTGGCCTGGGAGCGCCTTGGGATCCCCCAGTCAGAGCTGGTTGATGTCGCCAGGCAAAAGAAAGTTTGGGGCTCTCTGCTGGAACTGCTACCCCCGCGACCCGACCACGGATAAGCGGGAGAAGATGGATGGATGGATGGATGGATGAATGAAATCCCTCCAAAATGACATTAAGGACATTAAGGACGTACATATATTTACAATATACATAATACATATAAAACTCAACATGAAAAATAAAAATGATAACACAGCAAGTTGAAAAATATTGAAATGACTATTTACAATATTTACATAGCAACAGCTGTAACATGTTGGTAACTATTGTAAACTGTGTTCTCTAGACACTTTGATGGAGACATCCTCTTCACAGGGCAGAAGACTTTGCGCCTGTACACTTTGGCTCCTACTCCCGAGGGCTCGTCCATCCCCTTGCGCTTGTCAAGCGTGGACCTTGCCCAGGATGAGGGAATGCACTCGAGAGTAGTGGGGACAGACACATCAGCAGGCGGGGTTGCCTGAATGGCAGGCAGTAAGGGCATTGAGGAGAGGCTAGCAATGGCTGGGGTTGGCTGACTGGCAGGCAGGATGGGGCCAGGGAAAAGGGAGGGCACAGGTCTGGCGATGGTACTGGTGGCAGGCAGTATGGGACGTCCAGCAATGGCAGGCACGATGGGCCTCGTGGAGGGGCCAGCAATCGCCGGATTGCTGTGGATGGAGAGGGGGAGGGCAAAGGGCTGGGGTTGGTGGCAATGACACAGCTGGCAGTGATATCTGAGGGTGTGAGAGAGGTATGATCATGTCCCTCCTTCCCTTCAATGACTTGGTCCCTGCCGTGCTGGGTGTCGGCACGTGCTGCATCAGTGGGTAGTCTGGTGGAGGGAGGACTGCTGGCTGGTGTGGCGCTGGAGGCAAGTGGGCAGAGGAAACGGAAGTGGTCTTTGAGAGCATCGCTGGCTGGTTGGTCACACGCAGGTTGAGGAGACATTCTTGAGCGCAGATAAAGTCACGCACCGTCTTAATGTTTATCTTTGGCAGCGGAAAGCCTGCTTGAGACAAGACGGGATCGTCCACCAAAACCCGGTGCTGGATCCTCTCGTACGCCTTCAAGATAGTGGTCTTCTCTGGGCTTGTGCGAGAACCCTGTGGTGACTTCAACCACAGCAGTTTCACCAGCGTGTACATAAGCATGTTGTTCATTGCACTAATGTCCTGTTGTGCTGGTGTGTAGCGAATGCCCATCTTCACGCGCTGTATCACAGCAGCATCGACAAGGTTGTGCCGTTTAGAGCGGCAGTACAGGGTGTTGCCCCAGTGCGTTCTGTACAGCTGGTTGAACTTCTGCTGCTGTTTGTCGTGGTCCTCCACTGCATTCCAGGCAGCCAGGATCGTGTTCCTCTGCTGGGTGACGAGGGACAGCTTGTCACCTACGAGACCCATCTCCACCAGCAGCGAGCAGAACCTCTCCAACTGCTGGAAGCCGGGAAGAGGGTTTTGACTGCAGGCATCCTCCTGTTAAAGAAATGACATGGAAAATGTGGGAAGTTGAAATGGATACATTGACCACTGATACAGTGCATTTTAATTTCATTCTAGAAGACACCAAGTCACTTACAAAAGCGGGCGGGTTGACAGTGGAGGTTTAGTCTGTGACGAGTGTGATGTGGGGCAGGATGGCATCCAGCACATGGTCTCCCTCACAATGTGACTCCCCGTCGCTCTGGTACCTCGGGATCTGGAGTAGGCTGCCCGGGCTGAACCACCTCCTGGTCTGGACCGGGGCCATCGTGGATGATGTCCTCCCGTGAAAAGGGGCCAGATTCGGATTCACCATGCTCTGGCTGAAGAGGGACTCCAACCCCAGCAGCTCG